ATCCAGTTGACAACTTGATGTCAAATATCTGGATATTTTTAAAAAATATCAAAATTATGTAAAATTTTTCTGTGTGTCCAGAATATTGATTATTATATAGACATGGTTGGGTAATTGTTGGGTAATCTGGAAGCTTCATTTAGGAAGTTTTATCTTCTACTGGTACTTTTGAGGGGAACATACCAACTCATCACTTGAATTAATAAGTGGCAATATTTATAAAAGCCACAATGTGAGGTGTGGGGGAGGAGTGAAACCTAACATACATAATATAAATTGAATACTTGGAAACACCACCGTTGGTAGTTCTTAAGAAGGAAAACATTGCCTACGGTGCAGCCAGATACATAAACAATTCTGGAAATTTTTGTTTCTACCGCCCCACATTAATTCCAAGAAACATTAGGAGCTTTTAAAAAAAAAATCTTCCAGCTTTTCATCTATAATAAATTTTTATTTATAACATATAAATGAATATAGGTCGATCACTTTAGACTCAGAGGTAGACAGTATACATTTGGCAACATTTACCTTTTAAAATGGTTATTCAGTCTGAACTCCAGTGATTGGTTTCAATAATAGATTTTAATTTTGCAAAAAAACAACCTAAGGGAGTTTGTTTCAACATGTCTGCATTTTTTAATTGCAAAATAATAAGAAGTTAAGGACATAATATTTGCATGGAATGAATGTGGACAAGATTGGGCAATGTGATCTTATGCAAAGTGATAATGCAATTAGGTACATTCAATCCTACAATCATATTCTGATTATATTGAACCAAATGATGACAGTACAAAGAGAGGTCACAAGTGAAGAACCTCATCATTCTTTACCTACTTAAGCCTTTTGTTAATGACTTAGATTAAGACATAGAAGACTTTGTGTATATAAAATAGTCCAAAAAAAAAAAAAAAAAGCTGAGAAGATTATGTTGACTAGCAAAGTTAGAAATAAAAGATTGAAGAAGACTACAGAGATGTTATTTCTTTTTAACATATCATAGGTGTAAAAATGGCAGAAAATTTAGCTAATTGATATTTACAGTAAATTAATGCTTAGTCTTAAACTCTGATTCTCAAGAGAGATAAGGACTAGAAAGACATAGCAACTAGAAAGATTAGCAGCTCTTGTGAAAATAACTAGAGCATTTAGCCAAATGAAAATTCTGGATAGACCAGCATTGTTACCTTTAAATGCTTACCCTACATAATAAAAAACTTGGTATGCATATTTACTAGTATAGTTTGAAAGCACTTTTTTTTTAAGTTGTGTTTCTTTTTAAAATATATATTTTCATTGATTTCAAAGAGAAAGGAGAGGAAGAGAAAGATAGAAACATCTGTGATGAGAAAGAATCATCAATTGGCTGCTTTCTGCATGCCTCGTACTGGGGATCGAGCATATAACCTGGGCATGTGCTCTGACTGGGAATTAAACCAGTAACCTCTTGGTTCATGGGTCAGTGAGCCACACTGGTTAGGCCAGATTTCATTCTTTTTTTATAGCAAAGTAGTATTCTGTTCTGTATATGTACCACAACAGTTTTTTTGAAATATATTTTATTGATTTTTTACAGAGAGGAAGGGAGAGATATAGAGAGCTAGAAATGTCGATGAAAGAGAAACATTGACCAGCTGCCTCTTGCACACCCCCTACTGAGGATGTGCCTGCAACTCAGGTACATACCCTTGACCAGAATCGAACCCGGGACCCTTCAGTCCGCAGACCGATGCTCTACCACTGAGCCAAACCGGTTTCAGCATGTACCACAACATTTTTAACACTCATCTACTGATGGGCACTTGAGTCAATTCCATATGTTGGTTATTTTAAATAATGCTGCAACAAATATAAGGGTACTTATATTCTTTCAAATTAGTGTTTTGGGTTTCTTTGGAGATATATATATATATATATATATATATATATATATATATATATCCAGAAGTGGAATCACTGGGTCATAAGGCAATTCCATATTTAATTTTTTGAGGAGCCTCCATGTTGTTTTTATTTTAGATATTTGTTAACAACAGCACCCCACTTCCAGGAACCAAACTCTGTATTAGTTTTCAATTATTGTGAAGAAATCAATACAAATTTAATGGCTTAAAATAATAAACATTTGCTATGTCACATACCTCTTAGCTGGGTCATCTGCTCTTGGTCTCACAGTGCTGAAAGTAAAGTATCAGCTGGACTGTGTTTTCAATGGAGGCTTGATTTGGGGGAAGAATCTGCTTTCAAGCTCAATCACCTGGTAACGTAAAAAATATCCAAGCCTGTAAAGAGTTGATGGTGAGTTTATTTGAGCCAAACTGTTGACAATTGCCAGGAAGCAATATCTCACTGGATTGGGATAGTGCTCCAGGGAATGGCAGTTTCTCATCTATTTTTACACATTGCAATCAAAGGAAGGGATATAGGTGGATTACATGAAATCCACTGGTGATAAATTAGAGAGGCAGGAGAAAACAAAGTGGGAAACCCCTAAGATTGGATAAAAAGTAAAATGATAGACAAATACTTAGGTGGATGCAGGAAAAATTAACATGATAACAATAAAGGAATTTGTGGTAACTGTCCTGGCGCCCAGGCACATTAGGTTATGCCCCAGGGGGTCCAGAAAAAGGAAAGTTATAAATTATCCAGACATTTCAAGGATATGTTATTACTAGAGGCCCAGTACATGAAATTTGCACACAGGGAGCGAAGAGCTGGGGGGTTCTCTCAGCCCAGCCTATACCCTCTCCAATCCAGGACCCCTCAGGGGATGCCCAATCCCCTAAACCAGCAGTCAGACATACCTCTCACAATCTGAGACCATTGGCTCCTAACTGCTTACCTGCCTGCCTGCCTGATGGCCCCTAATTTCTCCCCTCCCCCACTGGCCTGTTTGCCCCTCACTGCCCACCCCTGCTGGCTTGGTCACCCCTAATTGCCCCCCACACTAGCCTGATCGCCTCCTGTTGCCCCCTCCTGCTGGCCTGGTCACCCCCAACTGCACGCGCGCCTCCCTCCCCCCCCCCCCCCCCCCCCCGCTGGTTGCCCCACACAGCCTGCTGTTCAGTCGTTTGGTCATCCCACACTGACACCCTGTCAGCCTGGTCGCCCCATGCAGCTTGCTGTTCGGGTTGTCCATCCAGTTGTATTGGTTGTGACAGCCCCTGGCTTTTTATATACTAAGATAGCTGCAAAAGGACAGATAGGCTCAGTTGAGATAAAAGTTGATCTTGTCAGGGAAGATACTGGCCTGGAATGTAACTACCCACGATAGCTGCTTTTAATTTAAGACCATCCATTGTGGTCACTTTAAGTTTCTGAGTTTGCAAGACTGCTATGCAGGCCTTCCCTGAGCTTATCAGGTTAGCGTGTGGCCTCTTTTGTCCACACAGGTTGTTAGTAAAACTCATTTTCTTGCAGCTGCATTAATTAAGGACCCAATCTTCTACCTGGTTGTGAAGTAGAGACCTCAGGTCTACATTAGTTTCTTGCCATATGGATCTCTCACAGTCTTTTTCTGAACATAGTTTATTTCTTTAAGGCTAGTAGCAGAATCCCATCAAGTTTGCTAAGATTGAGTCTTGTATGACATAACGTAATCATGGGAGTGACATCCTGTCACCTTTGCCATATTCTGTTGATCAGAATCAAGTCACATCGGCCAGCGTGACTCAGTGAATGAGTGTTGACCAGGAGGTCATAGTCCGATTTTGGGTCAGGACACATGCCTGGGTTGTGGGCTCTATCCCCAGTAAGGGGCTGGCAGAAGGCAGCCGATCAATGATTCTGCCTCACCATTGATGTTTCTATCTGCCCCCTCCTCTCTGAAATCAATAAAAAATAAAATTTTTAAAGAAGCAAATCACAGATTCTGTCCACAACTGAGGGAGGTACAAGATTGTGACCTTAGTATAAGGTATAATACCTTAGTATAAGGTACCTAAAAGGTATTACAGGAGGGTAGATCAAGTCCCCCAGAGTAATCAAGTGATAGTCCTTGGAAACTGTAGATGTTACCCTTACCTGTAAAAGGGGGGAACTTTACAATTATAATTAAGATAAGGTGATTATCTGAGTGGGCACTAATTGCAATTATTACATGTATCCTTATAAGAAGGAGGTAGAGAGCCTTGGCCAGTGTTTCTTGCTCTCCACCCCCCACTCAGAGTTGTGTGGGAGGCAACCAGTTGGTAAGTCTTTGTCATTGATCTCTCTCTCTCTCTCTCTCTCTCTCTCTCTCTCTCTATTGATTTTGTACAGAGAGGAAGGGAGAGAGATAGAGAGTTAGAAACATCGATGAGAGAGAGTCATCGATCAGTTGCCTCTTGCACACCCCTACTGGGGATATGCCCGCAACCAAGGTACATGCCCTTGAGTGGAATCGAAGCTGGGACCCTTCAGTCCCCAAGCCGACGCTCTATCCATTGAGCCAAACCGGCTTCGGCTGTTTATCTTATGTATATTATGATGTCTTCTTCATTTAGAGGTTTTCTTTTTCACCTTATTTTAAATTACAAAATTTTTTTAAATACTCAAATGAAGACAGCATATTTTCCTTTCATTTTTTGTACATTATCTAAGAAATCCTTAAAGATTGTGTTGCTGTTATTTGTGTGGCTGACTATTATTGCCATGATAAAATACCCATTCTTTTTGTTATAACACTTGTTCTTTGTTGCTTTTACTTTTAGATAAATCTTACCTTATAGCAATTTCTAACATATACAAAGCATTATCACACCCATGTTAACCTATACCTTCTTTCCAAACAACTGGTACTTTTCTTATTCAGCACAAGCTATTGATTCAGATCTTGGTAATCAGCAATGTCATAACATCTTATGTGGCCCTATATAGCTTTCTGAAAATCCCAGGTGTCCTTATAAAGCTGCTCAATCATTGAGGAGATGTCAACATTATATAAGCCTCAGTCAGCTGTGCTGGCGTTTGTGTTTCCATAGTAATTCCTCTCAAAACTTTTCCCTTATTTTCAGTGTGCCACCTGGGCTTGAATGCATGAAAGAACAAGATCTCTGCAACAAGATAATGGCTACAATACTAGAAAATTACAATACCCTGTTTGAAGTAGAGCACACAGGAAGTGATAACCAGAGTTATGAAAACCCAACAAAGCTTATCATCGTAAAAGTAAGTTTGATATTTAGTTTTTCAGGATTGCTGTATGTTGAGTGGAAGACATTTTATTTACATCATTGTTTTTCATGAAAATTCCATTTGGATATAACGTCAGGTTATTATTTCTATTTTATTTCATTCTTCTTATGAAACCTATTTTCTGTATGAAGTGTTTGTTAAATAACATCTATTCTTCTAAGATTGAAGAATAATTGTGAATTGATGTTTCTTTGATGCTATAAAATCATCTCAAAAGCACTTATGTGAGCCCAGTGCTGGGATTGATTGGGTGTACTTCCTTTTTATGGAAGTCTGGTGTTACAGGGAAGATATGATACATGCTATGTCTGTGTTCAGGAGTACTAGCTTACTGAGTAAATTGCAAAATCCATTCAGACAGTAAGTGTTTTTATGTCATTTTGTCACTCTTGTGTCTGGCACACTTTCAAGTTCAACCTCAGATTTTAACTCCCATATATGTAGTCATTGGTAATTATCATCAGTAAAGGAGAGTATTTTGAAAACCTAAAAAGAAGTACTACCTAAATGTTTTTATACATCGGCTGATAATTTATAGCATATTCTTTACACTTTAGGTAAATGCATGTAGGTCATTAAGATTTACAACCAAGAGTCAGAGAATAAACATTCAAACCAAATTTTCCAGATGAGGGAAAAGAAGGGAGGCATTGCATTTCTTTTTCATGATAGAAATGATCATGGAAGATTCCCTCAGGAGGTTTCCTGAAACTTATCAAATTTACAGACCTATTCTATTCTGGTTGATTTAATGATAAGGAATGATTAAGAGGTACTTGGTGAGAGTGTTTTCATCTCTTCTTCCATTTGAGGCATAACTTTGAAGAAGAAATAAAAGGTAATGGGTATCAGATAGCTCCCTATCACAGTGGTAGGCAACTGCCCTATCAAAACAGCACAAGAAGACTAAAACTAGGTTTTCTTAACTGGGGCTTATGCTATTAATACAACAGACTCCCTGTAACAGATAGAGTACATCTGAGAGAAATGCATTTAGTAGGAATCTTGCCAACCTAATCAAGAGAACTTTAAGCTGAAATTTGAGGGAAGGGAAGAACAATGCTCAGATAAAATGAAATACTTAGGAGAATATCAGGTGTTACCTAAGGTGGAAGTAATATGGAAGCTGAGAAAATGTCAGTGATTCAGAAGAAAAAGCTTTACTTATATCACTTCTACAAAAAGAAAGAAAGAAAGAAAGAAAGAAAGAAAGAAAGAAAGAAAGAAAGAAAGAAAGAAAGAAAGAAAGAAAGAAAATTATTTTTTAGATAGAAAATAATTTACCTTAAATTTGTTCTTTCATTTCCTATAGTACTTGGCAAAGGGTCTCTTTTTAAAATGTTAAAAAGTAATTGACTTTCTTTCAGCTATAACTTGATGCTTTTTAATATTCATACCTTTTTAATAGGGCTGATAAAATAATAAGATAATCTTTAAATATAATGAAAATAGATAAGCAACAAAAGCTTGCTGAGATATAGATAATCTCTGGACTGTGTTAACAGGAGATTATATATTGAGATACATGAAAGAGTGCCCTTGCTTGGAAATCCCTGAGTTTGTAGGTTTAAGCATGGTGGAGAACTTAGCTTGAGAGTACAGATTAAGACACATAAACTGATAATACTGGGAGCCAAATACCTTAGGTTGATGAATATGACTGCTCCTCTCCTGATGCAAATTCAGATCTGGTCTAGAGGCAGACAGATGTCAAGATTAGAAATGACATGTCTATATTCTGGAAGCATCATTCTGCTAAGGAAGAACATTTGGTACTTTTTTATTTTATTTTATTTTATTTTTTAAATATATTTTATTGATTTTGTACAGAGAGGAAGGGAGAGAGATAGTTAGAAACATCGATGAGAGAGAGTCATCGATCAGCTGCCTCTTGCACACCCCCTACCGGGGATCTGCCCGCAACCAAGGTACATGCCCATGACCGGAATCAAACCGGGACCTTTCAGTCCCCAAGCTGACGCTCTATCCATTGAGCCAAACCAGTTTCAGCCTTTTTAATTTTATTTTAACTGATCTTGCTCAGAGTCTTGGATAATGCAACAGGGGAATGAGATCTTATGGATTGAATTGTAGCCAATAAGGATGAAATAGAAGTTATGGGAATTATTTTAACAGGATGTGCCAGTGCCGTTTTAGGGCCCCTACAATTGAAGAATATGCTAGCCGCAGCTTGCTGTGTAAAACTGGCCATTGTTTAGAAAGCAGGATTTTAAATTTCCTAAGATCATAGTGAAACCAAAACACGGGATGTGGAGTCTCAGTTCGTTTGTTGTTTAGAGAAAGCAGAGAAGGAAGTCACAGACAAAAACAGTGGATCGATGTTTATTGAGAGAAGCCAGTCCTGGGAAAGGTGCAGCTGGGGCCCCAGGAGCCGGCCAGCGTCAGAGCTTCCTTTCCATGTGACAGCCGGGAGTACTTCAGCATCCAAGATAATGAAAACCTGTTATAGCCAAACCAGTTTGGCTCAGTGGATAGAGTGTCAGCCTGCAGACTGAAAGGTCCCAGGTTCGATTCCGGTTAAGGGCTTGTACCTTGGTTGCAGACACATCCCCAGTGGGGGGTGTGCAAGAGGCAGCTGATTCTCTCTCATCGATGTTTTTAACTCTCTATCCCTCTCTCTTCCTCTCTGTAAAAAATCAATAAAACATATATGAAAAGAAAGAAAGAAGAAAGAAAGAAAGAAAGAAAGAAAGAAAGAAAGAAAGAAAGAAAGAAAGAAAGAAAGAAAGGAAGGAAGGAAGGAAGGAAGGAAGGAAGGAAGGAAGGAAGGAAGGAAGGAAGGAAGGAAGGAAGGAAGGAAGGAAGGAAGGAAGGAAGGAAGGAAGGAAGGAAGGAAGAAAGGAAGAAAGGAAGAAAGGAAGAAAGGAAGAAAGGAAGAAAGCAAGCAAGCCTGTTATAGTCCATGCGTGGAAGCATGCATGCCTTTTTGTATATATGCTTCTTAGTTCCTGATTGGTCCTTTCATAGATTTTATAAAACTCCTGCCCTCCCTTCCCAGCCCAGATGGGTTCCACCCCTATCTAGCTGCTTCTGTCTCCTCGGTAGCAACAGATGTAAACCAAGAGAGGCTAGATGAAAAAGGAATTGGGAGGCTCCCAATGAAATCATTAACACGCTGAAAAGTAATAAAAATGAAAGGGCAACTAAAAATGTTGTTATTTTGATCATTCTCATGAGTTCAGCTTTTAGAGAATGTATACCAAAAAAATAAAAGGAAACAGGAACAAAGCAAGTGAAAAAAAAATATACAAAAGTGACAGAGATATAATGTTGGAGCTGAGACTGAGGTATAAAACAGGGAAAAATATTTTTTATGGGAAAAGTACTAAAAGTGCCCCCTGACACACCTTTGTTTAACCCCAGACAGGAAATAGAGGCAGTGTTGAATGACATTTTTCATGATATTTTTTTGTGGGCTAAATGGAGATTTGGGGCACAGAAAAGTATAAGTTGGATTGTATTTGGACTTGGATCGAGAACTTTGACCACAGCATTGGAATGTGGGTCGGTATTAACTTCAGGGAGGGTTTCTACATTTGTTTGTGTCATCAGTACTTTAATCATTGACTTAAATGAACATATTTGCACGTGCAATAAAGCTAGCGTGGTGGGAGTGGGGTAGAGGGGGTCAATGGGAGGAAAAAGGGGGTACATCTGTAATACTTTCAACAATAAGGATACTTTAAAAAAAATTTGGAAGAATAGAAGTCAGATGTTGGATGTCTACATGTATAGAGTAACAACATGGGATGTGTGTGGTGCATGTGTTTGTGCACACACCTACCGCTATTTCCCTCTGGCTTAAACACACACACACACACACACACACACACACACACACACACACACACACACACCGTTTTATTTGAAGCTATTTGGACCTCTGACCCAAGGGATGGATGAATCATAAATGGTCTAAAAAGGGTGGTATTATAATCACTCTCTAGTCACTGATTGACTAAAGGTCAGAAGAGACATTGTACCTTATATCCAAGAGGTAGCTTTAAGGTAAAGTGTGCTGGGGCAGAGGGCCTCTGGAGAAATTTTTCATCTTTGATAACAAAACAAAACAAAACACAAGAATGGTTTATGAGATAAGAGCTGTAGTTGCTTCTGGGTGGAGTTAGGGGTGGTGGCAGTGGTGATGATTAACCAGCCAAGTGCTCTAGGGAACTCTCTGTGGTTACAAAAACCTCGGTATTTATCTCAAAAGGGATGTGTGCTATGAGGGTGTATGCATATGTCAAAACTCATTCAACTGTGCACTTATGATTTATATATTTTACTGTACATAAAGTAATTTTAATTTAGGAAAGAGAGAAGAGAGTAGGTCCCTGAGTCAGAATGCCCACCTCTCCCATCTGCTTTTGGATATTCTCATGCTTGGGGCTGCTGCCACCATCTTTTGTCTTGGAGGAATGAATGCATCAGGATACAGAGGTTGGCAACTAAAGAAGGGGAAAGTCTGGGTCCTTGTCACTGCTCATCTGCTGAACCAACCCTGACCACACATACCTCTGGACTTTTCACTACATAAGGGAAAGAAATGTCCTCATTGTATAAGCTAACTTTAGTGTAGTATTTTGGGTCTTGCACTAAAAGCTTGCAGCAGTCATAATTGGAAAGTAGTGTACTTAGGTTTGTAAAATGATTTGCACCAATAGAGCCAAGAAGAGACCCAAATAATAATAGCTAAACTGAAAATCATCCACAGATTTTAGTTAACTTTTAGCAGAGTATGAACTGTTAGTGTGATGTGATTGCCAAAAATGACTGCAGGTTCATTCACTGAATATAACGGTAGTAACCAGAACAAAGAATATATGTGTCACTGCACTTGGAGTGGGTACAACCAATATTTTCAGTGTTACGTCTGATTTTGAGTACTACACTCTAACTCTCCTGACAGTCCTGACAACCTGACAATCTCCTGGTCCTCATTTATCCTAATT